TGAAGGTACATAGATGATGAAATTAAACATCAAGAGCCACTGTTAGTTACATCTACAATTAGTTAATGTATTATGAACCCATAATCGAACGATTTTTGATATTTTATTCGAAACTCTTTGTGATTTCATCCTGTATAACTTCAAAGTCGTTCAATTTCCCTTAATGCTTCAGAATTAGCGCTTGATGTTTTGGTTTTCAAGTGTCAAAATACACTTGTCGACAAGAATCTCAGTGTTAGTTTAGTCTAAGCAATGCTGGTGGTTGTAGGTACTCGCGCGCGCGCTAAGGATTAAACAGTGTCGAGACCCCATAATCAGATGAACTTAATCCGCAGCGTGCTTTTATCTCCAGATAGGAATCAGTTTGTTTCACTAAGATTACGATCTTTACCAACGGTCTATGTTTTTTGGAACTTTACCATCACCTTCGTGGTAAGTTCATCGTCATTAGTGCTTCTACGATAAAGTTATTGCTGTAAACGAAAATTGCATGGCAATCATAGATTTAATTCAACACATTTACAATTCAACGTAAAGAAGGTAAACTTGGAAACCAATAATGACTTAAACAACTCTTAAAATTCTATCCCCCTTCGATGAAAACTTATAAAGCTTATCTATGAAATATGACAATGGCAAGTGTTTTCATATTTGCGGAAAGGAGACGATTGATTCCGAAGAGAGGACTCTTGTGGTGAAGCCTCTTCGTTTAAACAATTAAATAATAAACCGCTCGACAAATAATTAATATTGGTTACAAAAATGTTTTATAAACCGCATTTATCTCTCACTGGCCAGGCATAATACATATATGTATGTACAGCACTTACAATTAGTATCTATCTATATCTAGTAAAACGCAGCAGCAGCGCCTAAACGGACGACATCTCTTCATCATCTTTTTCTTTTAAGAAGGCCTTGGAAGCGAACATTAAAATAATAGTCTTGACAAGTGATACCGCTTTGACTGTGTACGCATGTTTGTATGTGGGTCTATAAGTGTGTACCTATGCATAATTTTTTAACTGCCTACGCACTTTCGGACTCTCGCAAGAGTGATCATTCATTTCTGATCCTTAGATCGTGTAGATAGCATTCATTTAAACTCACCATATTTAATATAATATAAATAGGCTTTCTATTCCTTAAAGATAGCTCTTATTAATCGCTACTTTTAATAACGCCTATAGGCGTTTTTGAAAGCAGTACTTACTATAGTTCCAAAAGCGGCTAACTAAATATTTTTGCGATTTTAATACTTTGTGTATGCATTAAATTAATATTTGTATATTATCATTCTTAGTTTGGTATACTAATCAAAGAAATTGATTCGCATAAAAATATTAATTTTATTCGTAATATCAAAGTGGAGCTTGAAAAAGTATTACTGAATCTTCGGTTGTATCTATGTACACTTTCTGTCACACTATAATACGTAGGTACTAAAAGTCAGCTGTCCTAATGTCAAATGCAAAATTTCACAAACCCGCTAAACCTAAACGTAAGATAGCCGCTTTTAAAACCTTCGCTCATATAAAAATCGCCTAGGAGAATTGAAAGTAATGGCTACGACATGTACCTATCTATCCATCTGTACCTTTAACGAACATAAATTCACGTCGACCGTTATTGTGTTACCTATTTATAAGATTTAGGTACTAACTGTTTATTCGATCCCTAACCATTTCTATCCCTACATCATCCCCTACGCAGATGTGACTGAATCAGGATCTAAACGTCATCGGGAAGACTACTATTCTTCTCAGTCCAGTGGCTTCAAAATCTGTGGATTCGACACTAATATTGCAGTCGTCTTACCAATTCACTCCTCTCCCACTCTCATCTCTGGCACTTCTAGGGATGTCTTACCCAAACAGCATTGTTTTCAAATTGTGTACTAAGTTTTGAGGGAATTACTCCAGTTATCCTGGCTGATTCGCACAAGTACGTTCAAGCACACAACAAACATCTATTTATATGTATATACATCTAAGATTGTTTTATACGTGATTTTATTCTGAATAAAAGAATTAAATTACACGTTCTTTCTCAACCAAACAAGAGTTCTTGACACAAATAAAACATTAAAAAATAACATAAACACAGTCAACTTGACCAAATCAAAATGAAGTTAAATCTATGATTATTTATATTAAGCTTAACAACTATCCCCAAGGTAGCAGTACTAACCAGAGGTTACATACATATTACTTTTAGATTTTATATCGTACACTTATACGCAAGGGGATGTGTAGGTTTTTGATTATTTTATATTTGACAAAATACATTGAATATACTTTTCACGTATCATGAAATAACTTGATAATTTCAGGCACAAATAAATAAATTGTTAAAATAAATTGCGCAATAAAGTGATTATTCTTGTACAGTATCCAACCATCTTATTATCAATACAAGCTGCTGGTACTGATGGAGCGATTACGAGAAGTTCATAAGAAATACTAACTATTGTTGGTAAAAAAATAGCTTACCAAAGTATTAAATCGATCTTCTCGAATAGTATTAAAGTCACTCTGAACACACAAAACACTACTCGCGAACCGATTGTCTTTATTTTAACAAAATGGCACCACGTTTAATTTTCAACATGTTACGATCTAACATGAAGGCTCTTGCTCAACACTGACTAAACGATGTTGCGATGAGTTGTAGTCCGCGCCGGTTTGATATCTACAGCAGATATGTGTAGTTTGACATTCAGATGTCCGAATGAATAGATTTGAACGGTATATGTGGCAATTTATCGACACAAAGCGATATACATTAAATGATTTTAAAGAATTTTTTGTAATGCTAGGATTGTTGTTTGATAATGCGAGATATTATTTATACGTTACCGAGAAATTGAAGTCAAATGAAATAAAAATGAGTTAGCCAAGGTATATCACTAATTATAAACTACAAAAAGAACAACAACACCGATTATAAAAATCCATAGTACCTACCTATATATGTATAAAAACTATCAATAATAAAACGTTGTTAATAAAAAAGTCCATTCTATCGTTTCATTTCATTGAAATATATATGAATGACTAGTGCTCAAAACGATTATAAAATCAAAAGTTTGGTAGTGAGTAAAAACCAACTTTTCAATTCAATCAATATCCTGAAGTTGAAAATTGAACTTTCTTTTTAGAATGGCTAGAAACAAGTAACATGTGTTGTGCTAAAGCTAAACGAACAAGCGTATTACAATTAATAATAATTTGTAAAGTTTTAAGAGAAAAAATTACCTATAGGTACACACAATTTTATCACTAATGCTAACCCCGAATTTCCGGATTTTCCCGTATGTTATCGTAATTATATGGAATTCGCTATAATGATAACAACAATTAAAATTGTTCGCATTCTTTTTGAGTTGTTCACCGATAACTATTTTAAAAATGGTAACCAACATTATTTTATAAATTCTACTAGCGTTTCAATTATTCTGATAAGATTCCGATAACTTTTCTACAAAACAGATACACAGATATAAAGTATTCTGTTTACAGTATTATTAGATATACCTATACCTATTTAAACAGACGTACTTGTACATATGGAAAAGGGTGTTAAAAACAACCGCCAAAATAATAATTAACGTTTAAGTATATCCATTACGGACTTACTTTTTATCAGTTTATCACTAAGTATATATCTGTTGTATATATGGTTCACTGCGTAGGTACTTGCTTTAATTTAATTCAAAAATGCGTTACCTATGTAGATACATACCTATATGCTATGTCGCAGCCACTTGGAGCGATTCGCTACTTTCAATTCCGCCTAGACGAACGCTTGGATAGCGTTTTTTGGAAGTAGTGCTGCTTTCGAGAATTCCTAGGCGGAATTGAATGTAGCGATTCGCCGCGACACTGCAACGGTCTAAAAAATTAAAAGTTAGTGCTACCTGTAAACTTACGTCAAGAATTAATGCATGCTGTGACTGTATTTGTTCACGCGTTTAGAATTTTTAAGAAAATGAAAAAACTGCGTCTTAAAAAGCTTGTTACCTATATTTAATTTTTTATTATTATTCTAGAACTCTTAATTTTATATATTACATTATGCATCTATAATCACGATCCACCTTAAAAAAAATAAAAAAAAACGAATGCAATTTTTTCCTGCTTCTACAGTACCTAGGTAGGTATGTTCCTACTTAGTATGAAACGCGAAGAAAAGAGCAGCTTTAAACTTTGTGTAGAAACAAGTACCTACCTACCTACAATATAAAATAAACTGTAAATGCCTATTTTCGCACGAATCTGTTCTTTTACAATAATTCTCTTTTGTTTAATCGGTTCTTCAAAACGTAATTAGTGTGACATATTTCGACTCGTTTTATCATTTTATATTTACAACGGCACTTAAATTGCAAGGTTATTGCAGTGATCACAATACGTCGTTGGTTCGACGACGACATCGCTACATGTCGCACACATACGTTCGAGTAGCCACCACCTCATGTGTACCTACATATTCAGTACCGCACTTATATCGTTTTATCTCACGACGCATACCTGAGATTTTTGTTTTACCAAATGTTTCCATAGCTTTCTTATCAAAGCAGCCGCTTCATTCGTACGGTTAACAAGTCGATTTCTCTGTCATTCTCGTGAACGAGTTCGAGAATTGTTCAAAAATGATTGTGTGTGTGTCCGCGCACGGTTTAATAATAATTAATAATGAATAATAGTACATATTATATCGAATAAAAAGCAGGTGCAGTTGTTCAGTTTCGAACAGTTTCCGATATCCATCTTCCATTACTCACTGAAACAGATGAAATGAATCTCTGTCTTGCGACATTGAAATAAATAAAATGCGGTTTAGCGGTTATGGTATACCGTCGAAACCCAATACCGTACGTAGGTGCTATATTATGTTGAAAATTCAATTTGCATAATGGACTTAAAGTGAATGAATGTTACATTCGCAAAACGCAAAACGAACGACGTGACTAACTTGTGCTTTCTTTTTGTTTGCAGGATATCACAGCTTTTAGTAGTACTGGCTCTAGTTATGATGGTGAGTATATTCTAATATTCCATATTTTTACCTACAAACTTTTGATTACTACAAAATGCAAATCAATCGTGCGGACCATTCAGACATTTAATTGTAGGTACTTACTCGTTAAGTACAATTTGGGAATAAAAATTGAACGTTAACAATGTAATTAATAAAAGTCAACAACCAGGTCTGTTGGAAAACCCAAGAATTATGTATTCTGTATCTTATTGTATGTACTTACCTACTTAATTCTTGAGAGAAATAGGACTACAGCGAAAAGTAGACTAACTTTTATCGAGTTTTGTCAAATAAATTTATTGAAATACTACAGAGTACAATTTTATATTTTTCTCTTACGATTAGTAAATAATAATAAATAAAGATTCGAAAAGTGCAACGTGACAGTCTATTGATAGGAGAAAGATTTCCGTCCTTTTTCTTTTTTTTTTTTGCTGGTATTTTTATTTTCCTAATAATTCAATTTACAAATGCATAATGTTACTTACAATAGTGAATAATGTGCTTTTACAGTTTATAAATAGCAATAAATCAGTCATTGCCGACGACATGCCTTTTCAGCTTATTATTTTGGAAGCAAGCACAACAAAAGTTGCTTCCTAAATTAAATTAATTGTAACCACCTATGATATAAGTTAGGTGGGCACAACAAAATACAGGAAAACATGTTATGGTTAATACAGAATTGATCCATTCATTTTCAATGCGTTACATGAAATATTTCGTATAATAATTGTTGTTTGTGATTATTCTTTTTATAATATTAATTTATTATGCAATTTTACGTAGATTTGTATTGTCTGCATTTTGTCGTCAGATTGTTGTTATTTGCTATCACTATTTAGGTACGTTGCAAGAGTAATAGGGAAATAAACTGAAAAAATTTAGAACGAAAACTAGCGAACAACGTACACATTTCTCCGGGAAAATCGTGTCGAAACCGCTATGAGTTTTGCGGAATTCGGTGCGTTAAAATACGTATCATAAGTACCATACTAACTGAGTGACGCCGCACAATTCAATTCTACATTCTACCTACCTACCATATTACGGTCTTATTTATGACACAACTTTCGCAATGTCGCGTTGTAAACTTAAATAGCTGCTTATTGTTTCCCTTTGTTAATGAGTTTCCCCTTGAGATTTGCAAATGTAAGGTATGTAGATGCATGCGCAAGAAAGAATGTCGCAAATTGCGTAAGTAACAAAATTAATTTTCGTTTAAATGCAGACGATTGAGTCGGTTGTAAATGGAAATGCCTAAGCAACATACGCATACAAAATGCACAAATGCAGTAAATGAAGAAAAATACAAGCTCGAGTCATATAAAAGTTGGATTTTAGTTATTAACCAATTCGGTAACGTGCAATGTCAGGTGTGATGATGGGCTCTGCTAAATAGCTTAGCATTGACTGTGGGATTCACTATGACTGTTTGGTTTTCGATAGACAACGATGTCGTAAAATTACCGTTTTGATTGGTGCTTTAACTAATCGTAAGGACGCATTTACTTTGTGGTTTCAGCTGGACCAATTTTAAAAACGTTGTTGCGAGGATCTCCGATCATTTGGATACAGTAATTAATTATTGATACAATGAAACAAAAAGTAGACCTAGTAATTCAATGATATTCTGCAGAAGCACTGATAACCGCCGAGAAGCGGTCGAAGTATAGGTACCTAGCTTACTAGTTGAACAGCGTTGTTGTAGCATTGTCACTGTAACTTTTCTACTCTTATTTTAGTTTTCGATATTATGAGGACTCATGAAGACTAACAGTGGAATTTTATTCTAAAGAAAAGATAAGTTTGTGAAATAATGTAAATTGCATTAATACCAGCCTTGTTTCGATAAAATTGGATCAGCTAACGAAAGTATGCCTCCTTTTCCTTAATTTTTGCAGAAACAGCTTTTCTTGGTAAAATTTTTCATTAATAACAACAAAAAATGCTCAAATTATTTTTGAAATATCACTTTTACCCTTCTTTCAGCAATTAAAACGTCAAGTACATATATGCACTATCATTTATTTCAAGTAGCATACTTAATTTCGGAACAGTGCCCCGATGCACACGTCAGCTGTTTTGGTCGTAGGTAGGTAATTTTTTTGTTGAAACCAAATTATCGTATTAGGTATACTAAAATTGTCCTACTTGCAATGTTAATAAAGCAACACGTAGCGAAACCCAAAACCAAATACATACATATATTCTTTTAACATGAGAAAAATCCACAAATTTTGTATTTGGGGCAGCTAGACTCGTCTTTACAACTGGTTTTCGTACATTTTTGCAATTTAAAAATTATACGATGTAAATTGATGCAAAAATTATAAAATTATTCAAAGAGCAAAATGCTGCTGTTTATACCCGCCAATTTATATTGCATATTTATTGCAAATTTTCGTTTTCTATCCCGGGTGGACAGTTTAAAACTATAATACTTGTTTGTTAGCCCTGACGAGGCCTCGTAATTGAATGCGAAGTGTCGATTGTGGCTTCACAATTATAAAAAACCCTTTAGCCCTACTTGGCTTGATTCTTTGCAGTATATGTTTTTCCGTTAAAATCTGTAGTAATGTTATGTAGTAGCTAGTGTTAATCGACAACAAAACAGTGATGCTTACTGCATATTAATAGCAAATATTATACACTATACTATCATTAAATAGTAGAAATCATAGTATGAGGTACTTATAAGTTAGAATAATGGTATTCGTAACTAAAATTTATTGTTCTAGGAACTATCAAAGTTTACTATTTTTCTCAGTTGAGTGCTTTTCGAAAAATATTAAAAAAAAAAAAAAAATAAATACAACTATGCAGAAATCGTTTCTGGTTGACATTTAAGAATATTATACGTTCGTTATATTAAAATATTCAAAATTATACCTAAGTATGCAAGCATTTGTAATTACACGGAACGAAACAAAATAATTTATCTATACGTGATGTTTAAGGAATCGTCATATCAAGTGAATTAAGTGACTTGTTGGCAAACAAAATTTGCAAACTCTGACAGACAATATGGTGTCTGTACTATACTTAGTGTTTACTTCGCTAACGACTAATATTAGGCATAGCAATAAAGAAAAACAATAGAATAATAGCTACAGTAGGACTATTAAATTTAATTTACAACAACTTAGATTAGTGAGCTGAAGGTAAACCTACTTTTTGAAGTACCAGTTCTCCTGTTTATATTTACTGTGTGTATTAATTAATAGGCAATGCAGTTTGTGTATGATTGGCGGAAATTTGAATGAAAATACATATATACACAGTCAAAGGATTTAATTTTTACGTTTTTGAACAGTTATCTAATTATAAATAAATCACATTTCAAGATTTTCATAGCGTTATTAAAGGTGATGAAATAAAAGCCTCAGCCTCATGGGTAGGTAAGTACAGGTACCTATTATCTCAGGTACAGTTACGTAATTTTCGTATTATATTCGATAAAAGGAAAACAATACAAAAAAGTAAAACCATAATACCTAATAAACTCTATTAATATTCTAATCTAATCTATCAATTAATACTGTTGTTATTAACGCTACATTTCTGTCATAGAAAAGATAATTTATGTAAAAAAAGTGCTGTGTTTCATTTGAAAACAAGACTTCTGTCGTATTTCTTGATAATAAAATCAATAGATTTAGCGGATATAATTTATTTTGTTTATTTTTGTAACGGATTAAGCGAAAATATTTTGAATTGATTAAAAGTTGTTTGATCAAATGTAAAACAAAAAAATAATATTGTAACGGAAACGGAAGATGGGTGATCGACGGTCAGTTCACTGCCTACTACTTTTGAAGGAATCATAAAAATGATCGGCCATCGGTCAGTTGGGCGCGGATAGGCTATGATTTTATTGCATTAATGAGTTGCCCCAACCCATGTAGATTACTAAGTATAACATGCAGCTAACCCGCTCGATAGGAACCCAAGTGGCCTCCATAGCATTCCGGAGGACACCGATTCCATTATGGGTCCGTCAATTTTGGTTCAGGTTTTTCTGTGATTTCCTTGGATCATTTAGGTAAATTCTGTGCGACAGTAGTATTCACTAGAACCTAGATCATCATTCGATTTTTTTCTGTCTTCAGTTCGTCTGTGTGTCTAATCTAATCTAATCTAATCTAATCTGTGTCTCCCCAACCACTACCCGCCCATTCCCACAATTCCTGAAAGGACGCCCTAACCTCCGCTTTTGAATCAGAATGTGGGCCGGAGAGGCTACCTGACCATAAGTAGGTATGTACCCACCGCCAACAAGTGGCAATGTAGTAACACGCCAAAGTTAATTTACGGACCATTTATTTTAAATGTTCTAATTGTTACTCTTACCCTTTAGTCAGAAGGTATAAGTACGTATAATAACGTATTGGAGATTATTTACCTCCTCAAAATAAACCGTTTTTTGGAATGTTGTTTTTTATTTCGGTTTTTGAACACCTGTTTGTGTAATATTGTCTAGAAGTTGCAAATTATCAACACGTTTGTTATATGTATAGTTTAATCGCGTTTATTCTAAATTATTGCAGTAAAAACCTACTTATGAGCCGGACATTCCAGATGTACTAAAAGTGCTCACCTTAGCAAATATTTGTTATTCTTTATGGTAATTGCTACTACGAATGACTCTGATAAATTAACATCACTGTGACGTGAAGCAGTCTCTTCATTATATTGGAATTCTAATTCTAAAACATACTTTTTCATTGATTCACAAATTGTTACAAACTAAAGGATATCTCAGTTCCAAGCAGTCTACCTATTCCTAAATTCATTAATGCCATCAATTTTGGTCTTCATTCCGTTGACCATGAGTAACGTCAATTTCTAAGTAAAAACAAATCACTATCCTTGTGGTATTATTACGTTAATAAATAGACAAACAAATAAATAATATTTTATTTGGTTTTATGTTCCTAAATGTTTTATACTTTTAGCCTTAACTTTCACAAACAGTACGTGCTGTTTACTGAAGATGAATCTAATTCCTTTATAACTATATGTGTAGCTGCCTATGACTATCTTAAATGATTATTTTTATTTATTTGACATCTACCTCTCTATCTGTGGCTAATAACGCGCACAATTCATCATCATAAGGTCGTCAGTCCTAAGACTGATTAGACACGCACCTCCACTCTTTCCTATCCTGTGATAATCTTCGCATTTCCCTAAAACTAGAACAACCCACGTCATTAACTATTTGCGAACAGTAATCTAATCTAGGTCTACCTCTACCCCTCCTAACTCCCGTTTCTGCCTCTAATATATGTTTCTTACTAGTCCTTCATGCCTGAGAAGGTGTCCTACTTACCTATCTCGCCTATTTCTTATTGACTTCCAGAAAGTCCTCTGTTCTCCTATTCTTTCTAACACCTCTTCATTTCTAACCTTCTCTATCCACGGTATCCTCATCATTCGCCTATAACACCACATTTTGAACGCTTCTAACCTTTTGTACTTCTAGCAACCCCCACAGAACCATTTTTTCCAAATATAAAAACTATAACAACGTAAGAAGTTCTTATACATTAAAATAATCCAAATGAACAAATTATTGAACCCCATCCCAAAAAAGTTTCAGCGTTTCGTTAACAATTGCTCATCATCTGTCAGCTGTAACTTGTCCAAATTGAAAATTAAATTATTTTGGTGTATCTAATAGAACAGAATCTTGAAAAAGTATGATTTTAAATATTCAGTTTCAGTTAGATTTTCAATTTTTATTTATTTAATCATGTGTTGTTTAAGAAACTTGATCTCCCCGTTAATTAGTAGATGCCATTTCAAAAACATTTTCCTGTATTTCTTTCGCTATCGGTTTGTAGACAGCGGATGAATTTATGCCAAGGAACTGGTGGGTATCCCGTATTGCCCTCTTAATAGCTGATTTTATTAACAACTTGAACAACAAGTAATTCTTTGTTTCTTTTGTTGCAGCTGAATATTGACTTGGCCCTCTGTGGACCTTTTCGTAATGATCTGCAACGTGTGAAACCGGCGGCGTTTTACAATGACTGCTCGAAGAGGTATCTAAGGATACGGGGCAAAGAAGTCACGGCAGACGCTGACGAAAAACGTGAGTTACCTATCCTATTATACACTTAACAAGAAATCATCATAAATATTACAACCTGCCCAATAATATGTAGCATATACTATATACTAGCATTTTTGTTCGATAATAATCGTTTTTAACATGCTTGAGTAAATAGCAAGATAATAATGAGTTAGTGCGTTCCAAAAATATTTTTGACCCCTATTAAAAGAAGTGTAAGTCAAATTTTTATCGAGCTGAGGAACTATAAAATACTTACAATCTTTACGGTTTGTGTACCCAAATGTTAGAATAATTGCGCACAAATTTCAAATTTTAATTAACCAACGGCGAATAACTACTACTAACTGTTACTTTAGGTCGACGCGTGGCAGTATGGAACCACAGTGTCAATAAATCAAATGCTAAAGATTAAAATCTATTAAGTACTAAAAGTTACAATTCTAAAATTTTCGACATAATCTCCTTTATGATTGAGGCATTTGTAGCGCCTGTGGTCAAGCTTTGCGATACAATCTTAATGAAATTGTTGTCGTCGGTGAACTCAAATGAGTACCGACGTTGAACTGAAGTTCCTCGTTAGTTTTGCAGCGGGAAAGATAGAAATTGATCTCTGCTAGGTCGGACAGTTACTCTAAACAAACGAAGAAGAAATGGTCCTAACGACATTTATAATTGGCAGTGCCTCTCCTCACGGTGCTGGGCAATTTCAATTGGGCATTATTCACCACCCGCCATATAGTCCCCACCTAGCGCCGAGTAATTTCCATCGTTGCCCTTTAGTCAGTAAGTAGCAGGATGGGCAGCGCTTCCAAACACGATGACAACATTCTGTGAAGAAATAGAATTGCAAACCTCGTCCACAGGTACGACAAATGTCTCAATGTTCAGGGTGATTACGTGGAAAAGTGACCATAAGTCCTCATACTATGCAATTATTGGGAGATGATTTGCATCTTAAACGCAACAGCACAGTAAACTAACTTACTTGTAACGTAGAAAATACTACATGGGTAAATCACGTCCGATAAATGTAGGTTACATCGTTAAATGTGTAGTTAATCAGGTAGGGTGGTCGTAAGCGACAACTATAGCTGTGTATATATGCTGTAGAGGATATGTTCCAACTGCCTTTCAGTACACATATAGGAAAGACAGAATACGTATCGTATGTCGTTAAATAATAATTGACCCAATATCTCTTTACAATACTACTATACTTACACCAAAAATCGAGTTCCACCTCCACGCAAATCGAAATATCGGAGTTTCTTTTTTGTTACAGACAAACTTTATATGATCACACTCACCGATTCTCATGGGTTTCTGTTATTCGATCCAACGGCCAACACATTCTTCTGCTGGAAGAAAGCAAAAAAGAACGTACAATTAAAACTCACTGCACGGGTAAGTAATAATAATAATTTATTATTATTGCTATTACATTTGTATGTAACACTTCGCATTCCTTTGCTAGGTTATTAAAATATAAATCAACGTCTGCTGGGTTACCTAATCTTATCTTACGCTTTAGTATCTAGAAGTTTTTCGAAAACGTTTATAAACAGGACCATAACAATTAAAACTGTGTAAAGTTTCCTCAAAAATATACAGTGATAAATATGTTTATATATNCTGGTTATTCTTTCTTATGGATAGTGTCTGTTTTATATATATATATATATATATATAAGAAGAACCTCTCGGTTAATTTTTCAGAATGCGAAAGTTTTGTTTTAAATAAACGGGTAGGTAAGAAATGTAAATTTCATTAACTGTTGTTTTGCAGTCACTTTTAATTAATTCACATACATCGCACTAGATTCCCTTTGTAACGTAGATACCGTCTTATGTTAAACATACAAATTACTACAATTAGCAATAAAGACAATCAGAGGACGGCGATATACTGATTGTATGCATGTATATTAACATGCTCTTGCGGTTTGGTCAGTTATTTAATATGATCAACCGCTAATGAGAACTAAGAACTAATTAGTTAGAAACCGGGAATCCGATTTTAAACTTTTCACTTTCTTTTAGGTAATTTATAAATTTCATCAGTTCTGGTTTAGTTTTAAGGCTGTTGGCTTTTAATAGTTGATATAATAAGATGGCAAGTGGTAGGAGTTTGTTCTCTTTTTATTTACAGAGGAATCCGAAAGATCTTTCGATGTGTACCTTTGAAGAGTTACCAGTGAATGGCGCATCAACGAAGTACGTTTCGATGAAGAACAAATCTCAAATGATGCTCTTCAGGGCCAACGGTTCGCAACTGTTGACCAGAAGAGGCATGACCAAGCGGAGGTGTCAGCCGGAGAGCTTCATCCAAGACAAGAATCATTTCAATGAGACGGCATACGAGAGCAAAGACGAATTCTGCCGGAGAATGAAGCGAATCAAGCACAAGCACAAGATGGCAGACGAAATAAAAAATCTTTGCGGTATCACGACACCCGTTCAAATGAGGAAACGCCGTATGTAAAACAAAATGGTCTAATATTCGACATCCAACGTTCTTACCATTGCGAAGTCCAAAAGTCTTTATAGATGTCAACTAAAAACAAAGAACAATAATATTCAATGTAACGCGTTTTGTTTCGTCTCCAATGTTACGGGGCCATTTGGATTACGTTTTTAGAGGTTGAAATTTATCGCTGAATTGGTTTGTGGACTTGGTTATTTTTCTAAAACGTTGTGGTTGTTATTGGATATTGTTTAAAGAGACTGCTTCTACGTATAAGTGATAAATGTACGCCTCTCCCCATGCATCGTCGGCAAAAGTCACAATAATAATAATAATAATAATAATAGTAGAGAATAATAATATTAATAACAAATAGTAATACCTATTATTAATAATATTCCAGTGCATTTCTGTATCAGTATTCAATACATTCCGTGTTTAAGAGAAAGGACTTCAAACCTGTCTGGAGTTTATTAGAACCACGTGTATTTTTTTGTACAAATTTTTATTAGGATTTTATTTGACCCCCATGGGGTTTTCTTAACATTGTTTACGTATTAACTTCGTTTTTGCAGTTATTTATTTCTCCATTAGCTTAAGGTAATTATTCCAAATCGAATGTATTCTTTCTATTTATTGATTTTAACCAGATAAAAAGTTTCGTACTTAATCGAAAGCTAGTATGTGAAGGAGCGGATCGGGAATAAATAGGTTTAAAATTTAAAGGTTGCCAAATTTCTTCACAATTACCATTTAATTAAAGATTAGTATGTATTTTCTTTCCCGGGCCAACCAATTGTAAAGGGAACGTCCATCAAATACCACGTACCTAATAATGTGTATATTTTTTTAGTTTTTCATTACCGCAAAAAAGCAAATAAATTTTGAGAATAAGAACAAAATACTATCCAAAATATGTTGGACCCCNGGTTTTCTTAACATTGTTTACGTATTAACTTCGTTTTTGCAGTTATTTATTTCTCCATTAGCTTAAGGTAATTATTCCAAATCGAATGTATTCTTTCTATTTATTGATTTTAACCAGATAAAAAGTTTCGTACTTAATCGAAAGCTAGTATGTGAAGGAGCGGATCGGGAATAAATAGGTTTAAAATTTAAAGGTTGCCAAATTTCTTCACAATTACCATTTAATTAAAGATTAGTATGTATTTTCTTTCCCGGGCCAACCAATTGTAAAGGGAACGTCCATCAAATACCACGTACCTAATAATGTGTATATTTTTTTAGTTTTTCATTACCGCAAAAAAGCAAATAAATTTTGAGAATAAGAACAAAATACTATCCAAAATATGTTGGACCCCCTTTATCTTTTTCATCAAAAATGAGCAAACCCTTTTTTCCCCGAAAGTGCTTACGTGATACTTCTAACGTCAACGTCTAAGTAATTTTCGCTGTGAGAAAGATCCAAATTAAAAAAGAAACGCCGATATGGTTACAAATAATATTTACCCACAATCAAGTTTTATTGATTAAGACAAATACTATTACTGCTAACTTGTTATTAATTAGTTGGCTACAATTGCTTACATTTTTCTAGTCATTTTAAATTGGCAAAATTATATTAAATTATAATTTTGTTAGGAATCGAATAATTGTAGAAATTCTCGATCTTGTATTTCACTACCAGTGCTTACCGCGAGTAAAAAGTCGTATATGGTGCGCTACTATTAAAAAAAATAAGTGTTTAAGTCGTAAATAAATGACCGATTGGCTAGGCTAAATGCTTATTGATAAAAACACACCGTTTATTGAAAAATGCATGATTGACATTGAAACATTCGGTATTTCCTTGTAGTAAGCATAAAAACTTGTCTCGGTACTGTAGTATATTCTGTTCTTATTGCTTTGCCCGTTTTGCGTAGAAAAGTTGGAACATCGTTCTAATCTAATGAGCGAAAGAAATTATGTGCGCTGGCTTTTTTTTTTACTGGAGTCCTCCGTGTTTTATGTTTCGCAATTACGCTTTATTTATTATTACCTATTTAGTTCGGTTTTTGTACTAATCCGAATTATTTGAGTGTATCATAGCATAATAATATTAATAAGTAATTAAGTATTGTCCGCTCCTTCGACCACTTACATATTTCTATCGCTAAATAAGACGAAAAATTCTGTAATAAAAATAGTCATTGTAATGTCAAGCGGCAAAAGATAGTTATTTGTAGAGCGATTAAATGTTCACGCATCGGTGTATATTTTCACATAGCGAAAAGGCAGATTTTGTATTGTAAATATTTAATGAGATGTTATATAAGACAGCGTTTATCACTTGTAAAAATTGTGCCATGTAAAGGCAATGTCCTCAAGCATACATTCCAAATCGAAACTATGTATATAAAATAAATAAACAACAATCTAATGTAAATTGTCTTTACACCTTTATCTTCCCCTTTCTTATTATTACTCCTTAACTTCTAAATATCGCTCCAAAATACGCTGAACGCCATGTTTCCGTAAGTATTTGCATGTTTTATGTCTAAAATTTTATTTGTGACTACTTTGATTCCAGATGAAACAATAATTTTTGTTATTCGTGAAAATTTTACACGTGAGTAGGCACGTTTGCATTCAATTTTCACATTTGTTTCTTTTGCATTTTAGGGTTTTTGAAAATTAAGCGCATTAAAGTTGAAAATTTCTATAGAAAAGTTTTTATTTATCGTTATTTCATTTATTTACACAAACTTTAGGACACTGAATTTTCAGTATTAGTATTGTATTTTCAATTCGCACACCATGCATTTATGTAGGGACATATATGTATAATAGGTATCCATTGTCATCATTGCCGACTTAACTTGGAGCTCTAATGAAGGCATACAATTTTTAGCGATGGTTTATTTAACCGAGGCATATCTACAAACTTTTGAAATTTAGAAATAAGGAACATACCTAATGTATGTACACCTTGCTAAGTAATTATTTGCTAAACCACCTACATACAGATTTCCGCGGTGATAAATAACGTTATAAAATGTAATTTTTAATTTTCACAACCATTATCTTCATTAGAATTATGTGTGTATAAGTAGATACAATTTTTGTAAGTTCACTTGTTAGTTATCAACATTTCTGTTTTGGTGAGAGCTGTTCAAATTAAAGCAATGCGACTTTTCTGAATGCATATTGTTTGTTTCTTTTGTAAATCCTTTTTAAAATTAGTGTCGTATTAATAGAAAAAGATAATATAATAAGAAACACTGAAAACACATTATTTAAAGGTGCGAGGCTAATCAAACGAAATAAAATAGGTATACAATGTGCATACTAATAAAATCTGAAATTGGATCTAATTCATTATTAATTTATTACTACCTATACTTTCATAAGTCGTTTGCACCGGTAGAAGGACCAAGGACGCAGTGGGGGACGTCTGTCTTTGGAACCCAGGGACAGGTTGACAGAAATGTCATACGTGCGGAACCCAATGAATTAAACTATCCTTTTTAACAGAGCGTACTCTTTAATGGAGAGCTACCCCATTTATTCGATTAAAAACCATCAAGATATAAATTATTCAGTGAAGATGCTCACTTATACGTATGTAGAAAGCTACCTTGTTTTCAAAGGGCGGTTACAATTTTTACAGTGCTCAATGCTCCGTGCTCATGCAGACAATCTGATGTAAGGTAATTTGCCACGATCGGTCATTAGCATTCAGAAAGCAATTCATTCATTCGATTTACCACCTAATACTTTGCGATAAAAGGGTGTCATACTCAGTTAATAAAAGCACGTGTTTTACTATCATTAATTTTCTATTTGCTTTTTAGACATTTCGTTCGTAGTTGAAATGAAATCACATCTCATTTTTTTAACTTACAGTGAGAACACGAAAACTGACAAAAGTCTATTCGTATCAGTTAATGAATTTCGTCAACAAAAACACTGCCATGCAATAAACCGTACCTTATACAGGACAAGATAATGTCGCAGCAACTGATAATATATGAGGGCTTCACGCAGAACACGGCGCGGCAAACACATTGAATCAGACCACAATAAGACCTCTTCATGCAGAAGATAATCTAAAATCTAAACACTAGATCCACTGTTTATTCAGTTTATTTTTTGTTGTCTAATAAACTGAAATGTACCCGTGTAATATGTAATTAACTTAAACTCAACATTTAATTCACTGACGCTGATAAGAGAAACAAATATTTTTCGACTGCGTTCTTTGGAATTAAACAGCAGAAATAATAATAAGAGAGAATGCCACTTAAAATGATAATCTTGCCGAAACGAAAAACATGAACGCCGAGACTGCGTAGTTTTTCTGTGCGGTAAAGGCGTATAGGTACGAAATTAAACTTTTCTGTAGTTTTATTTTATCTACCGTATGCATGATAAGAGTATTTTAGAAAACGGAAATATAAGAAGAAATTATTAAACCACACTTAAGATATTGAATTTGACGACTTGAACATGCTGCGTTTTTCGGTAGGACGTTGGCACTCTTCCGTTCGTCCAAAGGTGCTGAATGTATATTTAAAAACCGAATCAAATCAAATGTCTCCTGTTTGTAAATAATTAAAAGATGATCGACTATTATAAAATTTACCTACTCGTAAGTTTAATTCAGAAAAGAAGTGATTACTTCATGTAGCGGAGATTGGGTGTGGACCAATCCGTAGGTTTTAAGTAACTTCTTTATTTGGAACAAAATTAATACCGACTAGGTATCGTTTGCTTTTTAATTTTGAAGCAGTGACCTGCGTAATTCCGTTGTTTTGATCATGTATTTATTTAAAACTAAAAAGGGACTGAGCCCAGCTACCAGTTACCACTAAACTTCCGTGTTACCTCCCTGCTGAAGATGTAGGCGATGAACGGTGCAGTATTTAAGAAGTGTCCAATGTTTTTTTTTTATTACTTTGTCTATCAGTGGCTCGGTAACCATGTTGTCACAGTTACTAATATGCAGAACTGTTACAGCAAATAACGCCGAACAAGTAATACCACAGAAGGACGGGACAATAATGTAAATCCTACCTTGAGGATTACAACTATAAAATCCTAGTTAATCAGAACAACAGGACAAGAGGCATAACAAAATAATTTTCTTTGTAGATAAGAATAAAATATGGAAGGCAAAAGAATAAAGAAGCGCTACATTCATGATGATTACATGATGAGCATACGTAGCACTGCTTCAATGAATACGTCCTCAAAAAACCACGATGCCGATGTGGTTTCTCCTTATATACATATGGATTATATACCTCAACTCGGGTAAAATTTAAAATTTCCGCATTTTCGGTCTGTTCTACGCTTGGAAACTGTATGAAAAGTGCTAATTGGAAAACATTTTTTATGTATAAATTTTAATTATTTAAATCCCGACTGAAATGCTTTCTAGATGGAATAGTGGATATTAACGAGCGACAGTAGAACTGCACGCAAACGGCACAATAATTCTCTTGTACGCAACTGGGACGACACCACACTCACTAATGAGGTTGTGTAAGATATAAACATTAATTGTGTTAATTTTTATAATGACTGACCGCACATTGGACTATTTAATAGAAATATTTAGGTAATTAACCAGGAGAATCGATTTCCAAACAGCAATCCAAGAAAGGCCAATCGTTACCTACTTTATTTGCCAAACCATATGGAGCAATGCAGCTAATGTTGGAAATCAATGCATCTTCGTTAAAGGTAGGTATTAAGCGAAGCCGATACGATACAATTAATATATGCGCATGTTAACAGAACAATCGATCAAGTTGATTCGACATAATACTGACGGAATGTCTTTTGCTCGTTACGAACAGACAACCTAATATGCTGCATGGACATGATTTTATCTCAGTGAACGCTTCCGTCAGATATACTTACTCGTATTATATGTATAAACACCTATGTGCCCCAGTTAGAGATACGATGTCGTG